GGCTTGAGGAGTGAGAGCAGTCAAGCCGGGTGACAGGGCTGCTATTGTCACACTGAATGCCCAACTAGCTATGACAGGCAAGGGCTGTCCCCCCCATGTGTGACTGTGCCTGGTCCATCTTAGGGTGCCTGGCGTGGCTGGGGGTGGGTGCCTGGTGGGGCCGTGGGGACAGTGCAGCCCCTCAGTGGGTCCTTTTTCTTCCCTTCCCTCCACAGAAGGGTTCCAGTCCTGGATGTGGCGGGGCCTGACCTTCCTCCTGCCCTTTCTCTTCTGTGGCCATGTGAGTCCCCATGGAGTTTGTGGGTGTCTCCTGTCTGGGCTGGCCCCTGGGAAAAGAAGGTCTTCAGGCCTCAGCCTCCTCCAGCCATCCCCATGCTGGGCCCCACAGCGTCCTCTCGGCCAGCGATGCTGAGGCAGGAGCCAGAACTGGCCCAGCACTGCCCCGGGCTTGGGTGCCTGCATTTCGTTTTGGGGGGTGTCTGTCAGTGTTGGGGGTAATTGATACCCACAGTTGTGGGGCGGGCTGGCCTGACCTGGGAGCCTGGTGGGTGAGCAGCACCTGCCTTCCTCTCTCTAGTTCTGGCAGCTCTACAATGCCGTCACGCTGTTTGAGCTCTCCACCCACGAGGAATGCAGAGAATGGCAGGTATGGGGGGTGGGAGGCTGGGGGCAGCTGTGGAGAGGTTCCTGGGAGGGCTGGGGTGGCAGGGATGGGTGTGTGTGTGCGTGTGTGTGGTGTGCTGGGGTGCAGGTTCCTGGGAGGGTTGGGATGGCAGGGAGGGTGTGTGTGTGTGTGTGTGTGTGTGTGTGTGTGTGTGTGTGGTCTGCTGGGGTGCAGGTTCCTAGGGAGGGCTGGGATGGCAGGTGTGGGGTGTGTGTGTGTATGTGTGTGGCATGCTTAGGAGGGAGGTTCCTGGAAGGGCTGGGGCTGGAGCCTCCCCCGGATGTTTGGATCACAAGGAGGTTCACCCTGTAGAGCCCTTTCTAGGCTCTGCCCAAGCCTGAGCCTCGCCCCTTCCCCTAGGTTGCCTGAATTCTCTGCCTTTGCTAGCAAACCCCTGCAGTTTGGGAGTTTGGGGGTAGCTATGCTGGAGGTTCTGGGGTGCTGGGGGCAGGGGTTCAGCAGGGCACATGCCCCAGCCTCGCCCTCCTCTCTGGACCCCCCCAGGTGTTCGTGCTGGCGCTCACCTTCCTCATCCTCTTCCTCGGCAACTTCCTGACCACGCTCAAAGTCGTGCATGCCAAGCTCCAGAAGAACAGAGGCAAGACAAAGCAGCTGTGAGCTCTCGGCTCCTGTGCCCTCGGGCCCCTGCACCCTTGGGCTGGACTTGAGACTGTGGGGGGCTCCTGGGCTCCTCCCCAGCAGCCACCTCAGGCCTGTGGCATCGCTGGGAGAGAGCCCAGGCCCTGATCCCCCGAAGGACGAGAGGAATGTGAGCCCCGCCTGTCTGCACAGTGTTCGCCTATTTATAACATATTTAATGCCGGGTCCCCCATCGTCCCTGGAACCCGGGCCAGTCTTCCTGGGGATGGGTCTGAAGCCTCAGGGAGCCCCTCTGTTCCCACTCTCGTCATTTGAACCCCTGTGGGTGGGGTTTGGATGTGCCTCTCGAGGTTGGATTTTATGCTGACCTGCTACTTACCAGGCCCAGGCTGGGGTGGCCTGAACCCTCAGCACCCTGTGGCACCCCTGTCCTGGGGCCACTCTGCTTCTGCTGTGAGCCCCCTCCTCGCCCACCCGCCGCGTGGTGGGGGTCATTTAAGTTCTCAGAGACCCACTGCGACTGCCTCATGCTCTTCTTGCCCCTGGGAGCTCTGGGGGGTGTCCTGAGTCAGCCTGTGAGCAGAGTCGCCACCAGAGGGCACCCCGGGCCGTCCAAGGGAACAAGGACGTTCCTATCCATGCTTCGGGGTTCCCTGACCTCCCATCTGGCAGCCCACCTTCCTGCAGTCTTGCGGTGGGTACTTGGGGAGTGGGACCAAGACTCTTGGACCCTGGGAAGGAGTCCCAACTGCCCCCGTTTTTCCTGGAGGTTCTGGATGTTGTGGGAGGGAGGTGAGGAGGCCCTGGCAGGCTCACCCCCAGGGGGCGAACCCTGAGGCAGGGCCAGAGCCACAGGACACCACTGGGGTGAGATTCTGCATTTGATGTGAGGCGGAGAGGCCACCAGGCTTGGCTCAGTGCTCTGCCCCGCCTCCCACATATGGGCCTCAGCTGCCCCCAAGCCGGGCCCTACAAACCCCAAGGCCAGATGTCAGGCAGTGCACACAGGCGCGCCTCGTGTAGCCCTCCCCAAGGAGTCTGAAATTTTTTTCCTTTTTTTTTTTTTTTTTGGAGACAGGGCCTCTGTTGCCTAGGCTGGACTGCAGTGGCACAATCATAGCTCACTGCAGCTTCTGCCTCCAGGGCTCAAGGGAGCCTCCCACCTCAGCCACCAGAGTAGCTGGGACCACGAGCATGCACCATCATGCACTATTGCTCCTTATTATTATTATTTTTTTTTTGGAGACAGTCTCACTCTGTCACCCAGGCTGGAGTGCAGTGGCGCAATCTTGGCTCACTGCAACCTCCACCTTCTGGTTTCAAGCGATTCTCTTGCCTCAGACTCCTGAGTATCTGGGACCACAGGTGCCTGCCACCACACCCAGCTAATTTTTGTATTTTTATTTTATTTTATTTTATTTTTATTTTTTTATTTTTTTTTGACACGGAGTTTCGCCCTTGTTACCCAGGCTGGAGTGCAATGGCGCGATCTCGGCTCACCGCAACCTCCGCCTCCTGGGCTCAGGCAATTCTCCTGCCTCAGCCTCCTGAGTAGCTGGGATTACAGGCACGTGCCACCATGCCCAGCTAATTTTTCGCGCTTTTAGTAGAGACGGGGTTTCACCATGTTGACCAGGATGGTCTCGATCTCTCGACCTCGTGATCCACCCGCCTCGGCCTCCCAAAGTGCTGGGATTACAGGCTTGAGCCACCGCGCCCGGCAATAATTTTTGTATTTTTAGTAGAGATGGGGTTTCACCATGTTGGCCAGGCTGGTCTCAATCTATAGACCTTGTGATCTACCCGCCCCAGCCTCCCAAAGTGCTGGGATTACAGGTGTGAGCCACCATGCCCGGCCACCCTGCTACTTTTTAATATTTTTAGTAGAGATGGGGTGTTGCTGTGTTGCCCAGGCCGGTCTCCAACTCATGGGCTCAAGTGATCTTCCTGTCTTGGCCTTCCAAACTGCTGGGATTACAGGCGTGAGCCACTGTGCCTGGCCTGATTACATTTTAAAAATGAGATTTCCCCTCCCCCACAGTGAGATTCCACATATAAATCCAGATTTCTGCTTTCCCTAGAAAAATGGACCTGGCAACGTTACCATGGCAGGGGGTACCTGCTCTCCAGTCGCCACAGGCGCTGCCACTCCTGTATGCCTTGCCCTTCGTTCTGGTCTCCTTTCTGGCCCTTTTTAGGTGCCTACCTTTGCCCTAGATTAGGAGTCAGCTAGCTGTCTGTAAAGGGCAGATGGCAACTATTTTAAGCTTTATGGGCCAGGGGGTCTAGGTGGCAGCTACTCTTGCCTGTAGTCACAGAGCACAAGGCAATGCACAAAGGAATAGGTGTGGCTGTGTTCCAATTAAACTTTATTTACAAATCAGGCTGTGGCCAGATGTGGCCCATAGGCTGTAGTTTGCAGACCATTGTTTGTCCACAAGGCCTTGGGCTCTTTGAGAACAAGAGCTCCTTGGTTGATTCCCCAGGGGATGGCAGGGCCTTGGGAACCTGGGTAAGGTGGGTCTCAGAAGGCTTCTTCCCTTGGTGACCCGATTTCTTGGAAGCTCAGGCTTAGCTGATGCCTCAGCACTGGGCCAGGGGGCTGAGGCAGGAGATACCAGGAAGAGCAGGAGCCACAACTCATCTTAGACGACACCAATTCCTAGGTGCACTCCAGAGCTGAGCAGCCTGCGACCCCTGTTGGGCACCAGAATCCCCTGGGATGCTTGTTTAAGTCCCACGAGGTGGTTCACGCCTGTAATCTCGGCACTTTGGGAGCCTAAGGTTGGTTGATCATGTCAGGAGTTCAAGACCAGCCTGACCAACATGGTGAAACCCCGTCTGTAATAAAAAGACAAAAATTAGCCAGGCATGGTGGTATGTGCCTATAATCCCAGCTACTCAGGAGGCTGAGGCAGGAGAATTGCTTAAACCCCGGGAAGCGGAGGTTTCAGTGAGCCAAGATGACGCCACTGCACCCCAGCCTGGGTAACAAGGAGACTCCATTTCCTGCCCCCCAGAAAACTTGTGGACCCTAGACCCCAGACCTTCCCAAAGGAGGCTTAGGGATTAGGTGTCTGGCTGTTGGTGACACGGGCAGTCCGTGAACCAGTTCTGAAACTGTCCCACGTGGGCTGGGAGTTGATTCTGTTAGTTCTCAAAGGAGGCTGGGATGTCTTGCCTCCTGGACTCCACAGGCTGGTAGAAGCAAGGCTTGAGGAACAGCAGGTTGGGAGCTTGACAGTAGTTAAATGGGCCAGTCCTGTCCTGCCAGTGGGGGAGAGTCCACAAAAACTAGCTCATGACGTGGGGGAGCCGATGGCTCTTCCCACCCTGAGTCCCTGACAGTGGGGGCTTTGGATGAGACTTTGAGGGGGTGGTCAAATGGCGGGTCCAGGGTATACTTTTAACATCTGAGAAGCTATTTCGTCTGCCCCCTGGGCACACTGCTCCCAGCTCTCCGAAGACACAGGTCAAGCTGAAGGTTGAAGTCTTCCGTGTGGAATGGAGATGGGAGGGGTTGGTGCCAGCCGCACCACCGGGCTGCGGCCTGTGTCCTCCTGATAGGCCTGGCCCCCGCGGTGGCCCCCGAGTTCCTGGGGGAGGAAGGAAGGAGCTGGAGGGTACAGCGGTACCTATCTCCAGAGCCCAGGGAGGCAGGGACATAGGAGTGGTGGGCCTGGGCGCCCGTGTGGAATAGTGCCAGGTCCACATTTACCCACCACCAGATGGACTGTTCATTCCAAGCATAACTTGGGTCTGCACTGGGGAGACCCTCATGGCGGGGGCAGCTGTGATGAGGGCACTTTGAGTCCTGAGGACAGACATTGGCTCCCGTACCCACATCACCACCGCACCCCAGGGGGAGCCTGGAGGGGAGTTTATGGTCAGAGCCCCAGCCAGGAAAGGAGAGAATTCCTGAATGTTGCAAGAGTCCAGACACCAGGAGCTGGAGGGTGGGGATGGGGCAGCCTCCCAGCGCAGTTGGCCCCTGGGGTCCCGGGCCCCGTCATTGCTGTCTCGATGGCCAACTGCCCTGGGTCACAGCAGCAGGCAGAGCCGGCGCTTCTTCTGCCGCTGTGTCTTCTTTAGAGCACTGAGAGCCACCTTGGCGGCCTCCCGGAAGACGTCCTCCACATTCTCCCGAAACTTGGCGGAGCATTCCAGGTAGAGAGCAGCTCGGATCTGTTTGCAGGCGCTCATGCCCTGGGTCAGGGGAGGAGCCAGTGTTAGCTGAGGGGCCCCTGGAGGTCTGACACCACCTCGGGGGTTTGGGGTTGGCTCTGGGGACTCTCCAGGGGTGGAGGCCTTGGTTTGGGCCGGTCTCTCTCCTCCATCCCAGCTGGCCCTCAGTGTGCATGGTGGAATGGGGGGCCAGTGCAGTGCAGCCCCCAGAAGGGGAAAAAGCCCTGTTTAGGCCCCACCCTGCCCTCTCTCCAGCTCTAGGTGGGGAGGGGCTGAACGCTGAGACCAGGGGGTTCCCCATGTGTGTCTCCCAGGCCTGTGAGAAGAGGTGGAGGCCTCCAGACAGGACTGGCAGCCACCTCTCTACCATTTAGGCAAATGAATTTGCCCTCGTTAATGGTTTCTACTTCTTGTGAAAGGTGCTCGTTGCCTTTGCATTCCTCTTATCCTGTTTGTTCCCTCATGCCTCATCTAAAGAGCTGCACGGTTGACTGGCCCGTGAAGGGGACGCCTACTTTCACACAAGGGCGGACAGGGCAGGACAGTGGCTCAGAGCACAGACTGTGGAGCCCAGCGGATGGGACCAGATCCTGGCTCCACTTCTGGCTAGCTGTGTGGCCTTGGTTAAGCTGCTTAACCTCTCTGGGCCTGTTTCTCCCCTGTAATGGGGGACGTGAACAGCACCTGCTTCTGAATCCTGAGGATTGACAGTAGTCATGTGAAGTGCTCAGGTCCACAGGCCACCAATACTAGTATTTAAAAATTATCATTCTTGGTCCGGTACGGCGGCTCATGCTTATAATCCCAGCACTTTGGGAGGCCGAGGTGGGCAGACCAGTTGAGGTCAGGAGTTCGAAACCAGCTTGACCAACATAGTGAAACCCCCCCCTCTCTACTAAAAATACAAAAATGAGCTGGGTGTGGTAGCAGGTGCCAGTAATCCCAGTTACTCGGTAGACTGAGGCAGGAGAATTGCTTGAACCCAGAAGGCTGAGGTTGCAGTAAGCCAAGATCACACCACTGCACTCCAGCCTGGGTGACAAGAGCAAGACTCCATCTCAAAAAAAAAAAAAAAAAAATTATTCTTAGAATCCTGCTTCCTTCAGCTTCCCAAAAGGCCGCTAAGGCACTCCAGTTGCAGAGGCCGAAGGTCCGGGAGGCTTTGGAGGTGCGGCCGTGTCTCGGAATCGTGGCCTCTGGCCCACCTGCATGTAGGTGATGGGCTCCAGCTGGGCGGCCCGGAGCTTCCGCAGCTGCTCCTTGTCCTTCCTTAGGTCCGTCTTGCAGCCGATGAGCACCATGGGGGTCCCATGGCAGAAATGCGTGACCTCAGGGAACCACTGTGGGGGGAGAAGGCAGGGGATCAGGGCTGCCGCTGGGCCCAGGTCTGGGGCCACCACCCCGAAGGCGGGCCTCACCTTGATGAGGACGTTGTCATAGCTGGTGGGGTTCATGACGTCATAGCAGATGAGCACGAGGTGGGTGTTCTGGTAGGACAGGGGCCGCAGCCGGTCATAGTCTTCTTGCCCTGAAAGCAGAGAGCAGCTGGGGGTCAGGGGACGTCCCCTCCCTGTGTGGACTCTGATGGGAGAAGGGGGAGGGGCCTGGCAAGTGACCCTGCCTTAGGGCCTCAATTTCCTCATCTACATAATGGGCAACAAACCGGGAGTGGTGTCACAGGCCTGTGGTCCCAGCTACTCGGGAGGCTGAGGCTGGAGGATCGTTTTGAGCCCAGGAGTGTGAGGCTGTAGTGAGCCGTGATCGAATTATTGCACTCCGGCATGAGTGACAGACCGAGACTCTGTCTCTTAACATCAACAAAACCTGTGGGTGGCAACCCCTGGGTTTTGGATGGTGGCAAAGAACCCTTGAGATCAAACCCACGCAGTGCTGAGAGCTGGGCCTGATTCTAGGGCTGGGGCTGGAGAAACCGCTAACGCTGGATGATGCTGGCAGCCAGTATGATCCCCCTGACCTACACTCAAGCAAAGCGAAGACTGGAAACCTCCCCTAGCCAAAGATACAGACCTGTGGGGCTGCTGGGCTCATGGTGTCCCCAAGTCCCCAGAGGCTGGTGTCTGGCTTCAGCCTCCAGCTTCTTTGGTTCTGATACAGTCGGCTGAGTTCCCTGTCCATCCTTGCAAGCACTAGGAGGAGGGTGGTGGGTTGCTGGGAACAGCATCAAGTACCCTCCCCACCCAGACCCACATAGCACATTCTGGGGGGATACCTTAATCCTGACGCCTGCCCCCGCCCCAGCGCGGGCTGAATCTGAACAGGGATCTAGGCTTAAGCCTTGAGCTTGGTTGGGTTTTCATTTTTTTATAAACAATTCTTTGTAACTTTTTATATTGACAGTTTCAAACTTACAGTAGAATTGCAACAAAGTGCGAAGAGCTCAGACCGATTCACCACCTGCTTGCAGCGGCCCCTCTGGCTTTACCCAGAGGCACTTCTGTCCCTCCCTACCAGGGCACGGTCGCTGCAGACGTTCTGCCTCTTCACCCCTTAGCTCAGCACCTGTCTGCTGAGAACAAGGATATTCTCCCACCTGCCCCAAGCCCAGGAAACCACACAGACTCTGCATTCTAATGCAGTCCACAGGCCATATTCAGATTTTGCCCATTTCACCAATATCGTCCTTGATTTTCTTTTTCCCATCTGAGGAGCCAGCCCAGGGTTCTGTACTTGGCGCCTAGTCATCATGCCCGGGTATTTTGTAAAAATCCCCGCAGTGAGAACTGAGAGCCTTTCAGGCTCATTGGTGACCAGCCCCCCGCCCCTTGACTTCCTTCCACTGAACAAGGAAGGTTGGAGGCCCAGGAATCCCCCCTGCCCCATCCCCAGCTGCTACAGGTGCTGAGTGGCACCAGCCTGCCCTCGGCTCTTTCCTTGCCAATACCTCTCAGGACAAGTGGCATCTCCACAGAGCACCACCAGGCTATGTTTGCTCCTGCCCGCTTGCTGGTGACGACACAGACACCCTCTCCCCACTGGCTCCCCCTCAACCCAGGGACCTCCTCAAGTTCTTAGCCAGCCCCACCACGGAACAGTGTTTAAGGGTGTAGTCACTAGAGGCAGATGAGACGTGTGTTCCAGTCCCAGCTCTGCTCCCACCAGCTGTGCCTTAGATAGGACAGTGGTGGGAACCCCAGATTCCCCACCTGGAACATGAAAATTATAAAATGTACCTCACAGGGCTGTCACCAGCCAAGACACCCCACACATGGGGGCCATAACAGTGAACAGAAGCCACCAGGACAGCGACAGCTGGGTCAGGAGGGCCGTCCATGCCATCCCTCAGCCAGTGTCCCCTGACATTGGGGCAGAGCAAGGGCTCAGACCCAACCACCACCCCCCATAAAGTGAGAGACATCCTTGTAAGACACTGGGAAACTGGCTGGGATGCTCTTCCAGCCCCTTTTCTGTCCCCAACTATCCCCTCTTGGTAATCGCTGTCCAACAGGGTGGCCCCAGCCCGTTAATTAACTTGATGAATGAACATGAAGCATTCAGCTCCTCAGTTGCATGAGCTACATTTCAGGTGAGTAATCGTCACCTGGGGCTCATGGGTAATGCAATGGTCCGTGCAGGTGCACGGCATTCCCACCACTGCAGAAAGTTCCACTGGACAGCAACCACCCCCCCCCCATCCTCATCTAAGTCCTCCTTTGTCCCTCTTCCCTGGCCTCCTGCAGCCCTTCGATGAATCCATTCACCATCTGACAGCTAGATGGATCTTAAAACACAAGTCATATCTGCCCCCCACAGCTGAAGCACCTTCAATGGCTCCCTATTGCACCCCCCCCCCCTTTTTTTTGAGACAGAGTCTTGCTCTGTCGCCCAGGCTGGAGTGCAGTGGCAGATCTTGGCTCACTGCAGCCTCCATTTCCCAGGTTCAAGCAATTCTCCTGCCTCAACCTCCCAAGTAGCTGGGATTACAGGCACCTGCCACCAAGCCTGGCTAATTTTTGTATTTTTTTTTTAGTACAGATGGGGTTTCATCATATTGGTCAAGCTGGTCTTGGAACTCCTGACCTCAGGTGATCTGCCTTCCTTGGCCTCCCAAAGTGCGGGGATTACAGGCGTGAGTCACATGCCCAGCCCCTATTGCCCTTTGTATAAAATCCAAATACCTCCCCAGGTCCACATGACTTCATCTCTGCCACGCCCCCTTGCTCACTGCAGTCCAGCCAAGGCGCCACCTCACCGTTTCTCAAACCCCTCAAGCTCTCACGCCCCAGCCTTTGTGCTTGCTGTTCCACATGCCTGAAACGTTCTTCCCTCACTTTTTTCGCCATTTTCTCCCCAGCATTTTATTCTTAAACATCCAGACTAACCATTGCATTATTTCTCTTTTTAGGATAACTGCCTGCCCTCCGTATCTGCTTTAATAATAATACATCCTATGCTCTATGTAGTTTTCAGAGTGCTTTAGTCTAGAAGTGATTAAGAAATCCTTGGCTGCGCGAGGTGCCTCACGCCTGTAATTGCAGCACTTTGGGAGGCTGAGGTGGGCAGATCGCAACATCAGGAGTTTGAGACCAGCCTGACCAACATGATGAAACCCCGTCTCTACTAAAAATACAAAAATTAGCTGGGTGTGCGTGGCGGATGCCAGTAATCCCAGCTATGCAGGAGGCTGAGGCAGGAGAATCACTTGAACCCGGGAGGCGGAGGTTGCAGTGAGCCAAGACGGAGCCATTGCACTCCAGCCTGGCTGACACAGCGAGACTCCATCTCAAAAAAAAAAAAAAAAAAAAAAAAAATCCTTACATGACAGCCAGATACGGTAGGGAAATTATGAATACTCCCACCTCATAGGAAGAAGCAGAGTCACAGAAATGAAGTGAGTTGCCTGAGGTCAATGACTCAGTGACTGGCCTAGGAATCAACCCCAGTTCATGAAATTCCAAGTGGGATGTTCCTTCTGCGAATACACACAAACGTGCTATTTTGTATTGTGCAAAAATTGGTTCTGGGCCTTTAAGATGTAACAATGGGGTTCATAGTTCTGGCATAACATATTCCCTTTTCCAAATATGGCAGGAGTGAACAGGTACAGTAGTCCCCCCTAACCCACGAGGGTGGCCTCCAAGACCCCAGTGGAAGTATGAAACCACGGATAGTCTAGAACCCTAGATACACTGTTTTTGTCTATATGTACATACCTATAAAACAGCTTAGTTTATGAATTAGGCACAGTAACAGATTAACAATAACAATAATAAAACGGGGCCAGGCACCGTGGCTCCCACCTGTAATCCCAGCACTTTGGGAGGCCAGGGTGGGCCGATCGCTTGAACTCAGGAGTTCGAGACCAGCCTGACCAACAGAGTGAAGCCCCATCTCTATCCAAAACACAGATAATTAGCCCATGGTGGCTCGCACCTGTAGTTCCAGCTACTTAGGAGGCTGAGGTGGGAGGATCAGTTGAGCCCCAGAGCGGAGGTTGCAGTGAGCTGGGATCGTGCCACTGCACTCCAACCTGGGTGACAGAGTGAGACCCCATCTCAAAAAAATAAAAACGGAACAATTACAACAACTTGTTAACATCACTACTCTTATGCTTTGGGACCATTATTATTTACTTATTTATTTTGAGATGGAGTCTCACTCTGTCACCAGGCTGGAGTGAGATGGCATGATCTTGGCTCACTGCAGCCTCCACCTCCCAGGTTCAAGTGATTCTCCTGCCTCAGCCTCCCCCAAGTAGCTGGGATTACAGGTGCCCACCACTACACCCAGTTAATTTCTGTATTTTTTCGTAGAGATGGGGTTTCATCATGTTGGCCAGGCTGGTCTCAAACTCCTGACCTCATGATCCACCTGCCTTGGCCTCCCAAAGCGCTGGAATTGAAGACATGAACCGCTGCTCCCAGCCAGAGGCTCTTTCCCTCCTCTCCTTCAGGGCTCTGTCGAATGTTGCCTCCTCTCAAAGACCTTTCCTGACTGCTCCGAAACAGCCTCCTTGGCAGTCTGCCCCGTGACAGTGGCTTTACTCATAGTCTCACCCATACCTGACTTCACAACTGGGCCTGGGCATGGTGGCTCACGCCTATAATCCTAGCACTTTAGGAAGCCAAGGCAGATGGATCATGAGGTCAGGAGTTTGAGACCAGCCTGGCCAACATGGTGAAACCCCATCTCTACTACTAAAAATACATGCCACTGCACTCCAGCCTGGGCATAGACCAAGACCCCGTCTCAAAACAAGAACAAAAATAAAAAACAAAAAACAGTACTTCTCTGGGTTTTTTTTTTTTTGTTTGCGTCTCCTGCGGGCAGGAACAACCTCTGTGCTGTTCACGTGTCCCTGGGAACACAGGTGAGCTCAACACGTGTTTGGTGAAGGAAGGCTAGAAAGAAGGGGTGCGTGAAGATGGTGTTAAGAGTCATCTCGGCCGGGCGTGGTGGCTCAAGCCTGTAATCCCAGCACTTTGGGAGGCCGAGGCGGGTGGATCACGAGGTCAAGAGATCGAGACCATCCTGGTCAACATGGTGAAACCCCGTCTCTACTAAAAATAC